ATGTTGTAATCTTTTGGGTGCTTATCTATGTGCATGGCTCTTCGAGATCTGAGGTGTGCGAAATATTGAAATTTCTGCAAAAAAAAACTGTTGGAATTATGCACTAGTCACAACCCTCTTTGAATTCCATCCTCATGGATGTTTTTAAAGGGATATTTTAGCAGTTTCATTTTATTCAATACATGGTTCTGTATTTATTTTCCTATCCAGGAGTGAGATCATTTCTTTGCGATCCGAACGTGACAAGTTAGGACTGGAAGCACAATTTGCACAAGAAAAACTGGCCAGATTTATGAGAGACTTTGAGCATCAGGTTAATATGTTATTTGGAGATTCACTTTAGTTTGTACTTTCTACTGTGCTCTGATCATTTAGGATTAAAATCTTCACATTTCAAGAGGACATAGATTCTATGCGGATATCGTGTGACCTTGTGTTTTTGACATATTTTGGCATATCATTTGGTGAAATGACAGAGAGATGAACATAATGGAGTCATAGAAAGAAACATTGAATTTTCACAGCTGATAATCGACTACCAGCGAAAGCTGCGTGAAAGTTCCGAGTCCTTGAATACTGCCGAGGAGCTATCACGCAAGTTAACAATGGAGGTGATTTTCCCTTTTTACACTGGATGGTTCTCTTGTTTACATTATTCCATCAAAATGTGTGGTATATTGCTATACAGGTCGCTATCCTGAAGAATGAAAAGGAAATACTGCTCAACTCTGAGAAGAGAGCTCTTGATGAAGTTCGCTGTTTGTCGGAGAGAGTTTATCGTTTGCAGGTTTTCTTTCTTTATCGATGTTTCAGGTTATAAATGTGGTTTTAGGTAGCTTTTATCCTTATTTTTCCCATTTCTTTATTCAGGCAAGTTTGGACACCACGCATGGTACTCAGGAAGTGCAAGAGGTAGCTTCTTGTCATTTAATTTATTTTCCATCTGCACGTCCTCTTTAATGTTCTAAACTTTTATTTTGCATCGATGCGTTAGGAGGCCAGAAGCATTGAAAGGAAAAAGCAGGAGGACTATGTTAAAAAAATTGAGGTACGTTCTATTGTATTTTTGATTTTGCTGCATCCCTTCTTCATTTTAACTGACCATGGATGTGAAAGTTACTACATGACACACTCTCTCTCTCAAATTCATGGTTATTTGGTATATGGCATTATCCTCTCCAAATGCACTGTGTCATCTTTTTTCACTGGTAATATATTGAGAAGTTTCAATTATAGAGAGAATGGGCTGAGGCTAAAAAGGAGCTTCAGGAAGAACGTGATATTGTTCGGAATCTTACACTTGAGCGTGAAACTTCCATGATGAATGCCTTGAAACAAGTTGAAAGTCAGGGTAAAGAATTAGCTGATGCCTTGCATTCTGTGGCTGCTGCTGAAGCTAGGGCCGCCATTGCAGAGGTAATCAATCTGGAATTTTTTCCCACTTAAGTCAATTTTTTGGATTTTTTAGTTTTTTCTTGTTCGTAAAAAAATATTTTTTGATCCTTTATCGTTACTTTATATAGGCCCGTTGTGCTGATTTGGAGAAGATTGTTAAATCTGCACAAATGAAGGTATTTTGTTTTCTGTGTCCATTCTCAGTGGTACCCTTCGGCCCACGAGACTGGAGGATATTGAATGGAAATTTTCTTATGCAAATGTGTTTATCGTGTTGTGTTATTTGACAACGATGAATTTGGACGAAGGTTGCTAAAAGGATTTACTGTGATAAATTATCAAAGCAGCTGCCCTTTGAGTTTTGTGTATTAGTTTGTTGAGAATGGTTGCCCTACTTCCTCTGGCCTTTGTTTTTCTTGCCTTCTCAAGTTCAGTGTGTTGTGCATCTTTTGAATCTGTTTGTTGCTGTGCTGCAGGATTCTGAAGATGCTGAAGCTGGTCCTTCCTCCTTTAGTGACAAGGTACTTCGATTGAATATTTAACTGCAAACTGTTTTATAATTGCTTCGATTCTGTGTACTTTCATGCAAGTGCTAGGATTTTTTTTCCCTTTTAGGCATTGCTGTCATTGGAAGCCAATGATATTTTCTAAGTTGCAGTTTATTAGTAAACAAGGTTTCAGTTTTTTAGTAGGTTCAGTTTCCATGTTGAGATTTCCCAACCTGAAACATTGGTTTTAATGGTTGGTTTTTTCAAAGAAATTGGTTTTAATGGGAAAATACTCCTAACCATAAAAATGGGACAACTCGGATCAAAATTGAAAATTTAATATTGTCACATTGTTTATGACTAGTAGCGGCTCTGCTCCACAAACTTGCTCCTTATATTGCTGTTGTTGCCATGTCAAGTCATCAGGTTTCATTTTTTTAGATGTTATTTGAAGTTTCATGCATGTTCAGCAGTATCTCGATTTGTCTTTGTGGAGTCATATTCATTAGTTTCTGGTTGATACTTATAATATTCCTGCAAATATGCTCAAGACTTTGCCGGATGTCCGGGAAGGAATTGAAACACTGAGACAAGAGGTGCAGACCAGCAAAGATCACATGGTTCAGGTACTTATTGCATTTAATGGTGTACAGATGCACTCCACAATCTAAATTTATTTTTCTCTGTTCAGTATAAAAGCATAGCTGAGGTAAATGAATCAGCACTTAAACATATGGAATCTGCCTACGAGAATTTAGGAATTGAGGTATGTGATGGAATTTAAGCATGCACAATCAATTCTTTAATGAACCTCACTTGTTCACTACTGTTCGATGTTGTAGGCTGATAAAGTTAGAAAATCACTTGAAGCAGAAGTCCAATCTCTTAGAGAGCGGATTAATGAACTTGAAAGGGAATGTAATCTGAAGACTGAGGAAGCAGCTACTGCAAATGCTGGGAAAGAAGAAGCTCTTGTGGTTGCTTTATCTGAAACCGCTAGTCTGAAGGAGGATTGCGCTAATAAAATGTGAGTTTTTGATGGTTAATATGTTGTAGTCAGTTTATTTATGTTGTCATTTCGATATATTTATTCTTTTTTTTATGCTAGGTCCCAAGTTGTGGTGATGGAAGCTCAAATCTCTGCCTTGAAAGATGATTTGGAGAATGAGCATCAAAGATGGCGTTCTTCTCAAGCCAATTATGAAAGACAGGTTGCTTTTATATGTTGGCTATCAGCGATGATTCCTCAGAATTCTTTACTTGGCATTTTGTTATCTAATTGTTAATTGATAATTGAATGTTTCATTAAGTAGGTGCTCCCTATATGGAAGTACGAAAGAACCAGTCAATTAAGCCCAGTTTGATTCCCATTTTTTTGGAAAAAAATACATTTTTAAACAGCGTTTTGACATCATTTGAACAGCACATTCTTCAATAAAATAATATTACACGCAAATCCAAAAATTTTCCCTATTTCTTAACCACACTTTTCCTATCAATATACTATTAAAAAATTTATTCTTATCAAAAGAATGGAGCTCAAACAAGGGCTAAATAATCGTCTTCTGAATTTATAAAAATGTCAACATAGCATCGATGTGAAATGTAGGAAGTAGGTACACAAGCTTTTTTGGGTCCCCAAACATTAATTTTTGTGGGACCTATGTGCTTTATCTTGAATAATTTGAGGACCCCAATTGTAATTTTCCTTATGGTTTTTGGCTAAAAAGGTTTTTTTTATTATTGATTTTTTAGAGAACTAGATGTTCTTAAGGAGGAAGATGTATGCCTTGGATTCACTAGATGGAGAATATGCTTACTGTGTTCATAGATATAAATATTTGACTTTATCTTGAGATACATTGGGGGAAGGGAAAAGGGGAAGATGGCCATATTATTACGATCTAGATTAGCAAGTCTTTATGCTAGTGCATTCCTAGTTGTGTTGATGGGAGTTTAGGACTAATTGAAGCTTGTTGAGTTCTACTTTTCAGAGTTAGGATGACATGGAGTTGGTTTATCATAGTAAAAAATTAAAAATTTTCTCGTTTATTTTTTATTTTCACTTTAATTGGCTCCCAAAATTATATTGATTTAGTGGATATCTAATCCATCCAGAGGTTGATAATTGATGGTGGCATCCACCTCCCCTTAAAAAGTTGTATGGATTTAAAAGACCTTTTCTCTTAAATATGGAATGCATGTGGATGCCTGCTTGATGATGGAATCAGAAGCCGAATTATGCGTCTTCATGAGCAAGTCTATTTATGCCTAACCGTGTAGAGTGACAATCTTTTTGTTTTGGACTGCGCCTTTCCACTTTATAGTTTCCTGAAGTTGTTGTTCTATTGTGTAAATATTTTTATTTATTAATTAATTTATTATTATTTTGGACTGCGCCTTTCCACTTTATAGTTTCCTGAAGTTGTTGTTCTATTGTGTAAATATTTTTATTTATTAATTAATTTATTATTATTATTATTATTATTATTATTATTATTATTATTATTTTATTTTATCTTTTTTTGTTTTTGTGTGTGTGTGTGGGTGTTTTGGGGGGGGGGGGTTAAGACCTTGTTAATTTATGAGATTTCTGGAAAGATCGCTAGGTTAACTTTACAGTTTTTTACTCATTTCAGTTAACTTAAGAACCTTAAATGTACAAGTATTCAAGCCAACACTGGTTCCAAGAGGCTTCCTATTTATTGAATATTTCATTGTTAATACTGTCCAAATCTTCGGTTCCCCACCCCCAATAAGAAAGTAAAAAAACACAAAATGAAGGAGAAAAAACCAAATTGTTCGGGATTTCGATGCGAATTGGAATATTGTGTTAGAAAATGTGCATTTAGGTTTGTTGAGATATTTTATGAATTGTGTTGTGATTATACTTGAATTAGCTCTTTGTTTTCTGCTTGAAAACACACTATCTATTCGGAGAGATTTTTACCACTGTGGATGCTCTTTTTTCTGTGCTTCTGTGGTCCCCCGCATAGATCAGTTCAAAGTTAATGATGAAAGTTGCTGTGGGTTGAGAGGAAATGAATTTTAGTGTCAGACATCTATTAACGAAATGTTTATGTAAAGAAATGTTTCTTCATATGCTACCGAGGAGTTAGATTCTCCATTTATATGGAAGTTCTTTCAACTCAAGCAGCTCAGCTATACTTACAACTTCTAAATTTAATGTCGTTGTCCTATTGTGTTTATCTTTGTTTGTCATATCATTGTCAGGAGAATTCTGATATTTCTGTTTGTAATCAGTAATTACAATTGCTCGTATGTCTGATACTGAGAATTTGGTGAAAATATTTATACTTACTGATGGTTGCATCAATTATTTATTTATTTCTCCAGGTTGTTCTACAGTCAGAAACAATTCAGGAGTTAATGAAAACATCACAAGCCTTGGCTTCAGCACAAGAGGAAACATCTGAGCTCCGTAAAGTGGCAGATGCACGCAAAAATGAAAATGTAGCTTCTATTTCACTTCTCTTCTTGCCTGGTTCTAATAATGTTGGATTTTGACTCATATTTTTTCCTTGCTATGACCACGTATTGTTCCAGAATGATATTGTTAATTTGAATCAGAATGGTGATAGATTTTAGTGAATTAACTGTGAATTGATTATCATAAACATAGCTTTAGGATGATTATTCCTATACCCTATGCCATTTTGAGGAATGTAATATTACTTCCACAGAAGGTCCATGTGGGCTTTCTGCTGTTGAATTTTCCATGTCTTGCCAGTATTAGCAGAAAGCATTTTTTCCACTATTTATTTATGCATGCTGAAGTTCCTTAATCTTATTCTTCAAAAGTAAATGGTTGTATTCTCTTAGTTATGGACTTGTTCAGCTTGGGAAACTTGGGAATATTGAATCCATTCTTCATATGATTTATTGTTTTGTTTCCTTTTTCTTCTAGCCATCACTATTGAGATGACACCCACTTATTTGTTCAGAATGAGCTGAAGGCCAAATGGGAAGCTGAAAAATTATTTCTAGAAGCATCTAAAAACGAAGCAGATAAGAAATATGGTGAAGTTAATGAACTGAACAAGATGTTGCACATTCGGATTGAGGCCTTGCTTATCAAATTAGCTGAGAAGGATCGAGGAATGGCTTCTGGGAGCACATCTCAAACATTGGGTAATGAGGACGGATTGCAAGATGTTGTAAGTTATCTGCAGCGGTCAAAGGAAATTGCAGAAACGGAAATATCTCTGTTTAAACAGGAGAAGCTTCGACTGCAATCACAGTTAGAGAGTGCTCTAAAGGCAGCAGAGTCGGCGCAAGCATCACTTCATGCAGAACGGGCAATATCTCAGGCATCACTGTTCACTGAGGAAGACTTCAAGTCTCTTCAACTTCAGGTGAGAGAACTGACCTTGCTTCGAGAGAGTAATGTGCAGCTTCGGGAAGAAAACCGACATAATTTCGAAGAATGCCAGAAACTTCGTGAAGGAGCCCAAAAAGTCAGGACTGAAATCGAGAATCTGGAGAGACTTCTTAACGACAGGGACAAAGAGGCAGAAGCTTATAAAAAGGAAATTGAACAGCAGAAGATTGAGAAAGAACATCTTGAGAAGAGAATTGTTGAGTTGCTGGAGAAGAATGAGGATGTCGATGATATTCATCGCATGAGAGAATCTTTTGAGCAGATGCAAGTGACTGTAAGAGATAAGGATGCACAGTTGGAGGAAATTAGGAAACTTGTATCTGAGAAGCAAGATGTGATATCCCATTTAGAGCAAGACCTTGCTAGGAGCAAAACAGAGTTGGATGAGAGAGAGTGCAGAATCAATGAAATCTTGCAAGCCGAGGCTTCTTTGAAATCAGAAGTTGAAAGATTTAAGAGATCAAATGTTCAACTGAGGAGGAAGTTGGACAGCTTGTCAAAGGAAAAGGAGGAACTGAGCAAAGAGATTCAATTACTTCAAAAACAATTGGAAGATGCCAAAAAGGTGAAAAGGAATGTAGGGGATGCTGCAGGTGAACAGGCAATGAAGGAAAAAGAGAGAGAGAAAGACACAAGAATACAGATTCTTGAGAAAACATTGGAGAGGCATAGAGAGGATTTGAAGAAGGAGAAAGAAGATCGTAATAAAGAGAAGGAAAATTTTCAGAAGAGCCGAAAGATAATTCTTGAATCTTATGAGTGTGTCACTCAGCAGAGGGGGAAGCTTGTAGACGAGCTGGACAAGCATAAGCAGGCTCTGAAGACACTCCATGATGAAGTGGAGAAACTAAGCAATTCCAGAGATAGTCAATCTGAGTCTACGTCAGTGGTTCAACGTTTTACTGGCACTCTGTTGGAGGATTTTTCTGCTGCGTATTTCCTGGCTGTAGAAAATTTTGAGCGAGTTGCACTGCCGGTTCGCATTGAGCTTGAAGATTCCACTTCTACCAATCCTTCTGCTCTGGATACTTCATCAGCTACAATTGTGCAAACAGGCCCTGCAATTACCCAAAATATTTTACCATCTCCTGCTGCTGCAAACGTTCCTGCAGCAAAAACAGTTGAAGAAAGGGAGAAACAATTTACTTCCCCAAAGATAAATGTTAAAACAGGGAGGAAACTGGTCCGTCCAAGTATTACAAAGCCTAAAGAACCTCAAGGTGATGCAGAGATGTCAGAAGCTGACGAGTCTAACAATGGTTCCAAGCAGTCGTCTTCCCAAAATATAGAAACTCAAGGAAATCTGATTGTACCAATACCATCACTTGTTCGCAAGCGTCCATCAACTTCGCTTTCTTCTGACTTGCAAGAGGATGTGCTGGCTCCAGAGAAAACTAGCTCTGATATGATTGCACCTGTGCCCAAAAAGTCTAAAGGTGTAGAGACCCAAAAAGAAGGTAGTGAAGAACAGTCTATGGCTACTTTGAAAGTTCCTCAAGTTTCACCTCCGTCTGAAGAATCGCCTGAGGACATTGAAAATGTTCATCAAGATATCAAGGAGGAAACTGTAGGCACGGAAAGGGATGAATTAGCAACTGCAGGGGAGGAAGTTGTAGAGCCAACAGCTGATGGAAAGAATCATGCTGAATTACAGACTGACACTAACGATGCAGCAGAAGAAAATTTGGATAAACCAAGTGAAGCTGTAGTGTCAGATGAACAATTGAGATATCAGATTGAGCAAGACATCCATCATATAGAAACAGAATCTGAGAACGACAGGGAAGAGGGAGAGCTGGTCGCTGGTGATGGAGATACTGAGGGCAATGCTATTAATTCTAATGCAACGAGGGGACCAGCAATTGGGGAGTTTGAACCTGAGCAAGCAACGCCCGAGAATTCTCCAGCAGCTGATGATGAACCCTTGGACGTTGATCCTTCCCATGTTCTGGATGAAGAAAAGAATGATAGCGGCGAATTAAACGAGGACATTGTTGAAAGTTCAGATAAGAATGATGACGAAACCGATCAGGTCACTGGAGATGCTAATACAGCTGGTCAGGAAGCAACTAGCAGTGCTGTTGAAACTGGGGCTCCAGAACAAGGTGGTTCTATTGTCACCGGTGTCGTGGAAGGACAACAGACATCCCCTGTTACTAGCCGCAACTCAACAACCATCAATTGGCAAGAGAGAGCTAGGGCGAGGGCATCTATTAGACAGGCTGGTATGCTTTCTCCTTCGCCGGGTAGAGCTCGTGGAAGAGGCAGAGCAACGAGGGCTCGTGGTGCTCGAGGTGGTCGTGCAGGACGTGGACAAGCACCTGGTTAACAGGGGCAGGATCTAATTGATAAGATGATGTTGCCTGATTTTTCTTGGGACGTCTTGGTTTTTATGTGCTTTTGCTGAATCTACTGATGGATGTACTTGGTTGGGATACCGTACCAGAACCAGACAATTAAGGAGCTTTTGTTTTTCTTACGAGGGGAAGTTATTATACTCCCATTGAATCAAAAAAACTGTACAAGAAATTGTAAGGGTAACATTGCTTCTGTTCTTTAAAGTTTTAATGGCACATGGATACGGCATGGTAACTGGAAAATTGAATTAAAAGCTTTTATTAAATATATTGAATATGTTTAGTTGCATGCAATTGTATGGCGTTTCAAAAACTACATTTCTTCTCTATACTCTGAAGCATGAGTTATTTCTTTTCATAATTCCCCCATACTAGTAGAAATTTATTTGATCCTTCTCAATTTCATTATCTTTGTTGTGTTGTTCTACGTGATAACCCGATTATAATGTAGCGTGACTAGAGATTAAGCACTTCCTTTGTTCCAGTGAGAAGAGAGTTTGGTCATACTGTCAAGGATAAAGTTTGCTTGTTCAATATTTCAGTTGAGAGACGTAACATTTCCTCATGGGCCTCGCGTTAATTTATTTGGTAAACATAGTATATAACTCTTCAACCTTCGATAAGAAGGAATTAATCAGTCATGTAGCGTGTCTTTTTGACGTTTGTTTTGCAAACAAATTATCTTTAGAACAAAAACAAAAAAAAATAAAAATAAAAATAAATTAAATTGCAGTGATTTATAATCTGCAAAAATCTCGATACACAATAATATATATATCTTTTATAAAGATAAATTGCCTGGATTGGAGCAAAAAATTCGATATTCGCAGTATATTTCTTTTATAAAGATAAATTGCTCGGATTGGAGCAAAAAATTCAATATTCGCTAGAAGGAGGGCTTGAACCTCCGACCTTGTGGTTAACAGCCACACGCTCTAACCAACTGAGCTATTCCAGCTACTGTTGTTTAAATTGATAAAATTTTTATATTTACCACATTTATAAAGCTTCCATTAATATTAAACTGTAACTATAAAAGTTGACAATAAATAGGGCGTTTGATAGGGATTGAGATTATATTTTTTTTAGTAGATTGTGATAGAAATTTTTGAAATGTGATTTAAAAGTTGGTGGGACTTATGAAAAATATAGTTAATATTGATTGTTTGACTTTGACTTAAATTAAAATCCTCCCAGATTAGCCATAAAAATTTCAATAGCATAAGAAGACTACTTGAGGAAGTTTGAAAATTTTGGTTCAAATCCAAGGTAGGGCAATGAAAACATCAGAGGGAACTCAGAAACTTGTGAAAACTCATGGCATTAGATTCGATCCAGGGTTTGATGTGTAGCCAAAAGCTTGTCCAGAAATGAACGGTTCCCGTTAATCTTTTTTTGTTGCATGATCAAGACTGATCCAGAATCTCTTGATGTCAATCTCATCAAGTTCTGGGAGCACTGGGTCATATCCAGCAGCTTGGTGTTCAATGAAGGGCACTGCATGATTCAGCACTCATTAATTGGGGGAGATACATTGAGGAATCATCATATTGTGGTTGGGAAAAATTTTCAGAACCAGTAGTGGGATTCTTGTAAGGTGTGCGTTCTTGATCCTGAATGACCTCAGTTTGGAAACCTCTGGTATGATTTTTCTTCTTGAATACTCTGCAAACCACCCACCCATCCTCCTATAAATTAATATAGGAGCCAGAAAGGTGGAGTAATGTGTGATATATTGTTGATTTATGAATATGAAAACACGAGTTTGATGCACGAAGCTCAACTTGCTTGTTGGCGACGGGCTAGGTTTCACGGAAACTATGTTAGAAGTTTTTACTTAATTTTTTAACTGAATTTCAGCAGAATCGTAGTCCAAACTTATTCGTGCATGATCCAATCCGTCTTCTGGCTGTGAGGTGCACGTCCAGTGTTCCGATTCTCTTGAAGTTGCTTAAATTTATGGCCTTATCCCTACCGGTGGCCTCCCAGAAACCGGCCTCTGTCGCGCGATTTGTCCGAGTTCCTGTTGGATACTTTTTACCTTTGTGACTGAATAAATACCATTCATTTCGGGGACCAATCCAATTCTACATTTTTCTGCATCTCATTATGTAATATTTATATCAAGAACTGTTTTTTGTAGACTAAAAATGGGTCAGTTAAAAGGATAATGGAAGTCCAAAAAATATTGTGGCTAGCTAAACTTTGAGGTCCCAGGGTTCGAATTTGTAGAGATCAACTTCCTTAATAACATCAAAGTCGATTGCTTCATATGAGACCTTCTTCCTCAGATAATAATAAAGTAACTCTTCATCTGCGGGATAGAAACGAAAACCTCGAGCGAAAGAAATCTGGCGATTCTCCGCCATCATTGTCGTTGATGCTCACTCTGATGTATCCTGGAGAAAAGCTCAATAACAGTGTGACAAAGAAAACTTTTCCTGTAAATAAAAATTTAATTTGACAATGTGATGAGTTTTGACATGGAAGAAAATGGAGAACAAAAACTTTACCCTGAAAACATTATTTTTAGAAGAAACAGACCTTAATTTCTTTGGTATATGTTTCCTTCTTCTTTTTCCAAAGAGGAAAGATAACGATGGAAAATTAGGTTTGGACAAATCTCCACACACGAATCGAGTGGTGTTGTTCAATGGTTGAGATAGAATTAATCGCAGCAAATTTCACGGACTGGAGTGGTTTGGGAACAACATTAAAAAATGAAAAATTACGAGTAAAAAGATAAGGAGAAGCGAACAGTGTGCATGTAAACAGGATTAGGGTAAGAGTTTGGAAAATGTCTGTTGAATGGGAAACCTCAACTTGCATAAAACTGATGAATATCTGCAACATTACTGTCAGTTAGTAAGCCATTTTTTCCCGTCAAAACTGTATTATGTAATGACTTTTGCTATTTGTACACTAATTTTTGACACTTTAGTTGACACTTGTATTGTTGTCAAGTGTCAATTGGATGAAAAAAATGTTCAATAGGATAATGTCATATGGCAAAGTGTAAATTTAAGTGTACACTATAGTATACATGTAGCAATGTTCATTCTGTAAATCAGCTTTATTAATATATAGGGGCTGCTACATGTTACAGCTCAGTGTACAGCCTCTCGCATATGTTGGATTTGGAAGGATTGTAGTGAATGAAATTAATGACGCGATATGAATTAATGAAGATCGCAACGAAAAACAAGATTTAAAAATAAAGAAATTAACAAAGAGAGTTAATCGCAGAAGCACGACGTTTTATTAATCGACAATATGGAAAGAAAAATAAAAACTCGGCAATTTTTGTTTGAACAAAACTAAAAGAGAAGACTACTATTTATAGTTACACGACATAGCATAGAGATGGAAATAATGTGTAATAAGAAAATAATATGTTTCAATAAAAATCATGTGAAATATAAGGAAACAAATTTTCTCACATGAAAATAAGGAAACAATTTCAAAAAAAATAAAATAAAATCCACCCTCACAAAACCAACAATTTCCACCTTGATCCAAATTTTGGTGCAACGAACGAAACTCTAAGATTTCAAATTTGTCTGCATCGAAATAGCCAATCTCCTCAACACAGTAACTGAAACTCTCCAAACCAAACCATCGTCTTTTGCAAGGTGTCCACAAGTGATACCTGAACTTAAATTCTGGGTTCCCAAAATTCCATTGAGAAATTACTGTTGACCAAGCACGGTCGAAGCACACCTTATAGCAAAAAACATACCACATGCAAGATCAGAAGGCCCATTGCCAAAACTGTCGCCTTCAACATCCCCAAAAGCATCCCAAACGTTATTGACACCATGGTACCTACGCTCTATAAGTCCAACCCTAGCAAATGAGCACGGTGAATCTGCTGAAATTGGTGGCAAAGCGGAATAACCAATACTCCCCCTAACATTATTTTTAACCAACTTAGAGCTCACCACAAGAGGTACTATACCAAACTGAATATCCACCACGATATTGAACTTGTCCGACGTTTCTTAACTAGTTATGCGCTTTCTTGCAAGATGTACAACTGAGACTTCTTTCATCCTTCCAATACAACCCAGACACCAATTCAGACCTTCAAAACTCCACCTCCACTAGAGAATTTATACCCTTTTGCATCCAGATTACTAAGTGAGATGAGATTCATTTTCAGGTCTGAAACATGTCGAACCTGATTAATTGTTCTGATTGTCCCATCCCGCAACCTTAATCTGATTCGACCAATTCCTTCAACATGACAAGACTGGTTGTTTCCCATCACAACTCCACCTTGCTTGAAGCTTCATATGTCTGAAAGAAATTTCGATTAGGACACATATGCTGTGAATATACCGAATCGAGAATCCAATCCTCGTTAGGCCTAGATTCCATGTCGAATACCACGGTCAACATCACATCTCCTCCGTTTAAAAAATCCTCAACTGCAATTTTTTCGTCTGAAATCAAAGGTTGCGCCTCACGATTTGCAGTCAAATCACATTTAGCCTGAACTTATCATAATCTTTTTGAATATATCCTTTATGTCTGTAGTAGAAACAAAATAAATTGCTATTATTCTACGATCTGCTCCTTCGTCGACCACCATGAGATACAAGAGCTTCCTCATCCCTCGATATAACTCCAACCAAATGCTTCAATTTATCCTTTGAGTGCAAAGCATCATCTATAGTCAACGTATCCCGACTATACCAAATGGTGTCCCGAAACGATGCATAAGAGTCAGACAACGAATATAACAGGATCAAGGCAAGATCCTCTTCATCGTACTTAACCTCCAACGTTTTCAAATCTGCGACAATTTCCTTGAACATGGCAATATTGTCTTCCAACGACTCTCCTTCCGCCATGTGATGGGAATACATCTTCTGCTTTAGAGCCAGTTTACTGATAAGACTCTTGGTTATACATAACTGCTTCAATTTCAACCACAAAGCAGTTGATGGTTTCTCCTTCAAGACACCCTGCAAAATATTGTTGGATAGATGAAGATGAATCAACGACAAACCAATCCAAGTCATTTCATGAATAAAATGTGCCCAATTAACCTATCTTCTGTATAGGGCTTAGCGATGGTTGGAACAAAGACGATCTCTCCGTTGTCTATTTACCTTGCATTGTCCAAATCCAACTACGCCAGAATAGTCCTCATCTTTACTTGCCACAAGTATTGCGATCCATCAGCGGCATGTCATACTTTATGGTAGTCATCTCTGAAAAAACATCAACCAATCCTCAGAAGAAGAACCAAGCTCTGATACCTCTTGTTGGACCCAGAAGGATTGTAA